ACACATTAGGGATGATCAACAAAAGGAAGCAAAACTAGAACTCAGACACTGGGGTGACATGACTATCAAAATAAAACAAGAAGTGCACGGGGAAACAGAGCACAAGACAGGGAAGACTAAATTAAACACCAGAAACACCCAAACCAGGAACACTCAAAACCCAGAACAGAAACCCAAAAACACAGAAAACCAAACCAAGAAAATCCAAAAACCAAAAACCTGGAGCCTCCAGGCTGAGACCATGACACCTTACTATACTGTGACGTTTTTTGATGGTTTGAGGCTCAATATGCCATGTCGTTTTTTCACTTTTTTTGCCATAGTATACTGTGTCGGTGTTTCACTTTTTTGCCATACTATACTATGTCGTTTTTTTTTCACTTTTAAGGCCTCAGTATACTATGACGTCTTTATACCTTACTATTCTATGATGTTTTTTGATGTTTTTATGGCTTATTATACTATGCCGTTTTTTCACTTTTTTTTGCCATACTATACTATGTCTTTTTCATTCCCTTTTTAGGCCTCATTATATTATGACGTCTTTATACCTTACTATCCTATGAGGTTTTTGATGTTTTTATCCCTAATTAAACTGTAGTTTTTTCCCTTTTTTTGCTATACTATACTATGTCGTTTTTTCATTTTTTTTCCCATAGTATACTATGTCGGTTTTTCACTTTTTTGCCATATGTTACTATTTCATTTTATTGACTATTTAGGCCACAATATACTATGACGTCTTTCTATCTTACTATACTGTGACGTTTTTTGATGTTTTAAGGCTCAATATGCTATGTCGTTTTTTCATTTTTTTTCCCATAGTATACTATGTCGGTTTTTCACTTTTTTGCCATATGTTACTATTTCATTTTATTGACTATTTAGGCCACAATATACTATGACGTCTTTCTATCTTACTATACTGTGACGTTTTTTGATGTTTTAAGGCTCAATATGCTATGTCGTTTTTTCATTTTTTTTCCCATAGTATACTATGTCGGTTTTTCACTTTTTTGCCATATGTTACTATTTCATTTTATTGACTATTTAGGCCACAATATACTATGACGTCTTTCTATCTTACTATACTGTGACGTTTTTTGATGTTTTAAGGCTCAATATGCTATGTCGTTTTTTCATTTTTTTTCCCATAGTATACTATGTCGGTTTTTCACTTTTTTGCCATATGTTACTATTTCATTTTATTGACTATTTAGGCCACAATATACTATGACGTCTTTCTATCTTACTATACTGTGACGTTTTTTGATGTTTTAAGGCTCAATATGCTATGTCGTTTTTTCATTTTTTTTCCCATAGTATACTATGTCGGTTTTTCACTTTTTTGCCATATGTTACTATTTCATTTTATTGACTATTTAGGCCACAATATACTATGACGTCTTTCTATCTTACTATACTGTGACGTTTTTTGATGTTTTAAGGCTCAATATGCTATGTCGTTTTTTCATTTTTTTTCCCATAGTATACTATGTCGGTTTTTCACTTTTTTGCCATATGTTACTATTTCATTTTATTGACTATTTAGGCCACAATATACTATGACGTCTTTCTATCTTACTATACTGTGACGTTTTTTGATGTTTTAAGGCTCAATATGCTATGTCGTTTTTTCATTTTTTTTCCCATAGTATACTATGTCGGTTTTTCACTTTTTTGCCATATGTTACTATTTCATTTTATTGACTATTTAGGCCACAATATACTATGACGTCTTTCTATCTTACTATACTGTGACGTTTTTTGATGTTTTAAGGCTCAATATGCTATGTCGTTTTTTCATTTTTTTTCCCATAGTATACTATGTCGGTTTTTCACTTTTTTGCCATATGTTACTATTTCATTTTATTGACTATTTAGGCCACAATATACTATGACGTCTTTCTATCTTACTATACTGTGACGTTTTTTGATGTTTTAAGGCTCAATATGCTATGTCGTTTTTTCATTTTTTTTCCCATAGTATACTATGTCGGTTTTTCACTTTTTTGCCATATGTTACTATTTCATTTTATTGACTATTTAGGCCACAATATACTATGACGTCTTTCTATCTTACTATACTGTGACGTTTTTTGATGTTTTAAGGCTCAATATGCTATGTCGTTTTTTCATTTTTTTTCCCATAGTATACTATGTCGGTTTTTCACTTTTTTGCCATATGTTACTATTTCATTTTATTGACTATTTAGGCCACAATATACTATGACGTCTTTCTATCTTACTATACTGTGACGTTTTTTGATGTTTTAAGGCTCAATATGCTATGTCGTTTTTTCATTTTTTTTGCCATAGTATACTATGTTGTTTTTTTTCCCTTTTTAGGTCTCATTATATTATGACGTCTCTATACCTTACTAAACTATGATGTTTTTGATGTTTTTATCCCTAATTAAACTATGTCGTTTTTTCACTTGTTTGTGCTATACTATACTATGTCGTTTTTCATAGTATACTATGTTGGTTTTTCACATTTTTTGACATACTATACAATTTCGTTTTATTGACTTTTTAGGCCTCAATATACTATGACGTCTTTCTACCTTACTATACTGTGACGTTTTTTGATGTTTTAAGGCTCAATATGCTATGTTGTTTTTTCACTTTTTTTGCCATAGTATACTATGTCGGTTTTTCAATTTTTTGGCATACTATACTATGTTGTTTTTTTTCACTTTTTAGGCCTCAGTATACTATGACATCTTTGTACCTTATTTACTATGACGTTTTTTGATGTTTTAAGGCTCAATATGCTATGTCGGTTTTTCACTTTTTAGGCCTAAATATACTATGACCTCTTTATACCTTACTATACTGTGACGTGTTTGATGTTTTTGATATTTCTATCCCTAATTAAACTGTTGTTTTTTCCCTTTTTTTGCTATACTATACTATGTCGTTTTTTTTTCTCTTTTTAGGCCTCAGTATACTATGACATCTTTATACCTTTCTATTCTATGATGTTTTTCATATTTTTATCCCTAATTAAACTATGTTGTTTTTTCACTTTTTTTTTGCTATACTATACTATGTCGTTTTTTTCACTTTTTTTGACATACTATACTATTTCATTTTATTGACTTTTTGGGCCTCAATATACTATGACATCTTTCTACCTTACTATACTGTGAAGTTTTTTGATGTTTTAAGGCTCAATATGCTATGTTGTTTTTTCACTTTTTTTGCCATAGTATACTATGTCGGTTTTTCACTTTTTTGTCATATGTTACTATTTCATTTTATTGACTATTTAGGCCACAATATACTATGACGTCTTTCTATCTTACTATACTGTGACCTTTTCTGATGTTTTAAGGCTCAATATGCTATGTCGTTTCTTCATTTTTTTTGCCATACTATACTATGTCAGTTTTTCACTTTTTTTGCCATACTATATTATGTTGTTTTTCACTTTTTAGGCCTCAGTATACTATGACATCTTTTTACCTTATTATACTATGACGTTTTTTGATGTTTTAAGGCTCAATATGCTATGTCGTTTTTTCACTTTTTTGCAATATTATTGTATGTCGTTTTTTTTCACTTTTTAGGCCTCATTATACTATGACATCATTTTACCTTACTATACTATGATGTTTTTTGATGTTTTTATGGTTTATTATACTATGCTGTTTTTTCACTTTTTTTGCCATACTATACTATGTCTTATTCTTTCCCTTTTTAGGCCTCATTATATTATGACAGCTTTATAACTTACTTGCTTTATGCCTAATTATACTAAGTCATTTTATCACTTTTTTTGCTTTTTAGGCTTTACTATACTGCGATTTCTTGGTACCCCACTATACTAGGAAGTTTTTTGATGTTTTTATGCCTCATTATACTATGTTGTTTTTTTTACTTTTTATGCCTTACTATACTGTGACGTCTTGGTACCTCACTATACTAGGAAGTTTTTTGATGTTTTTATGCCTTATTATACTATGTCTTCTTTCACTTTTTTTCCATACTAGACTTTGTAATTTTTTTCATTTTTTAGGCCTCAGTATAGTATGATGTTTTTATGCCTAATTATACTAAGTCATTTTATCACATTTTTGCCTTACTATACTGTGACGTCTTGGTACCTAACTATACTACAAAGTTTTTTGATGTTTTTATGCCTTATTATACTATGTCGTTTTTTCACAAATTTTTGCTATACTACATTATGAAGTCTTTATACCTTACTATACTACGCCATTTTTTACATTTTTCTTTCCATAGTAGACTGTCATTTTTAGGCCTTCGTATATTACGATGTCTTTATAACTTGCTATGCTATGATGTTTTTATGCTTAATATGGCATGTATTTTTTTTCACCATACTATACTATGCCGTTTTTTCATTTTTTAGGCCTGACTATACTGTGACGTCTTGGTACCTCACTATACTATGAAGTTTTTTGATGTTTTTATGCCTCATACAATGACGTATACCTTGGCATAAAAACATCAGAAAACTTCATAGTATAGTGAGGCCCCAGGATGTCACAGTATAGTAAGGTCTAAAAAGCAAAAAAGAACAACATAGTATAATATGGTAAAAAAAGTGAAAAAAAAGACATAGCATATTAAGCATTAAAACATCAAAAAACGTCACAGGTATAGTAAGGTATAAAGACGTCATTGTATAATGAGGCCTAAGAAGTGAGAAAAAACGTCATGGTCTAGTATAGCAAAAAATGTTAAACGACGTAGTTCAATTAGCGATAAAAACATCAGACGTCATAGTATACTGAGGACTAAAAAGTGAAAAAAAGACAGCATTTTTTTGCTATACTAGACTTTGTCATTTTTTAAATTGTTTAGGCCTTAGTATACGTTTTTTGAGGTTTCAATGCTTAATATGCTGTCGTTTTTTTTTTCTTCCTCTTTAGGCCTTACTATACTGTGAGAGCTGACAAATAGCTCAGTGGCCTTATTATGAAACCCATGACTAGCTGGTGTCTGACAATGTCCATCTCTCTATCCAGATTACAATGATATAACCCTGGATCCAAACACAGCCAACCCTTATTTATGCTTCTGTGATGGTCGGAGAGCTGTTACCACACGTTTAGAGCCACAGCTATTCCCAGAACACCCGGATCGTTTCACCAGCTGGGCCCAGGTACTGTGCAGAGCTGGGATGGCCGGGCGCTGCTACTGGGAGGTAGAATGGACTGGAAACGGAGGGGTTTCCATTGGTGTCTGCTACAAAAACATGAGCAGAAGTGGAGGAGGGAGTGACAGCAAGCTGGGACACAACTCCAAATCCTGGAGCCTGGACTGCTCTCACTCAGTTTGCTCATTTCAGCACAATAAAGAGAGTGTGACCATCGCATCTCCCTGCTGCAGCAGGATAGGAGTGTATCTGGACCTAAGGGGTGGGACTTTGTCTTTCTACAATGTTGCTGATACAATGGTTTTACTTCATAAAGTTAAGACTACATTCACCCAACCTGTATACCCAGGATTTTGGGTGGGATTAGGTTCTACTTTGAAGCTATGTTAAACTAACTGTACTCATTCAACAGTTCAAGAAACCTTGTACATATGGGGTTCCAAATGTTTCTTTTTGACCGTGAATAATAATGAAACTGAGACAGATGTTTGTGCTCAAAGCTTCGCTTTTTAATAACTGTGCAAGCCGGGAGCAGCAGCAACACTTTAATGGAGCAGGTACAGAGCTGGAGGTGCTTAGATCTTATTGAAGGCAGCAACATCTACACTCTGGACCTGCAGAGGAAGAAAAAAAGAAGTCAAAGTGTTTATTATGTTATATTGTGATTTATTCTACATAAAATCAAATGAATGAAATGAAAATCAAATAAAGCATTTAATGGGATTAAGAGCATTTTTAGAATTCAAGGGTGTCATTTTTTGGAAGTATGATTACTTTCTTTCTGGCAGAGATTTAGATAGGTTAGTTTAGCCTAGCATTGACTAGAAACAACTAGTCAGGCTCTGTCCAAAAATTAACAAATATTGCACATCAGAAATGACATCTCATTTTATTTAAAAGGAAGGTAATGACAATTTGTTGTTTTACAGCATTTTCAATGCACTGCGCACCACAAATGAACTTTAGGGTGGTTGCAGAATGTCTAACAATGATATCCTGAAGCCCCAAGCAGATAAAATCCATACAATTTAAGTGCTAAACACCACTTGGATTAAACAAGAAACATGTCTGGGATAAGGGTGAGACACAATTAAAAGTTACTTACAAAGTCCTCAAACTTGGTGATCTCCTCCTCCAGGATGTCGGTGCCAACTTTGTCGTCCTCGACCACACAGTTGATCTGTAGCTTCTTGATGCCGTAACCCACTGGCACAAGTTTAGATGCTCCCCACAGAAGCCCGTCCATCTGCACCGAACGCACACACTCCTCCAGCTTCGCCATATCTGTCTCATCGTCCCACTAATGGAAAATAGAGGAGGGGAAGAGACATCAACATTAATTTTGACAAAGTTAAAACAAAATTCAACACAGGATCCATGAGTTACAGCAAAACATTTTAGATATTTGCCATCAGATTGAACGAGAGCATACTTTACCTGATTTTCACTAAATGCACAGGTTTTCATTTTAGATGAATGATTTTAAAAATAATTTCCACAACAGCAGTGGAAGCAGCATATTGAAATGAGCTAAATTACACAGTTAGGGTGGTATTGTTACGTACAGGCTTGACGTCCAACAGGATTGATGACTTGGCAATCAGGGTGGGTTTCTTAGCCTTCTTGGCAGCATAGGCTTCTAAGCGCTCCTGCTTGAGGCGTTCTGCCTCCTCATCTTCTTCATCACTGCCAAAGAGGTCGATGTCGTCGTCGTCGTCATCATCATCATCGCCACCACCGTTTTCCACCTTTACCTGTTTGACAGGAGCAGCCTGGACTGGTGCAGCCTGTTACAGTGGAGAAGGATGGGGAAAACTGTTTTAAGAGTGAGCTGTTCAGAAGCAGGTTAATTTGATAAGGTTAATTTCTTAGTTTTTTTATCTATTTATCTGCAGTTAAAACATGACGGCAAAAAACATACAATAGAAAATAATAGTTGCAGGTGAGGAAGGATATACATATCTAAAATTATTTATCTACCTTAGCACATGGGACAGCTGCTGATACAGGTGTCTTTTCCAGCATAGCCACTCTGGACTCCAGCTTCTGCAGGGCTGCTCTCATGTTCTCCACCACTAAACAAGCAACACAACAGTAAAGTTAAAACCAGAACAAGTGAGCAAAAAGGACAGGCATGGGAAAAACTCCACACACACCTTTGTGCAGAGTCTGGTTCTCCAGTTCCAGGCTCTTCATGCGTGAAACCAGCTCCTGGTCTCCTCCTGCATGTGAGGATGACTAGAAAACAAACACAAATCAATTAACAAGTGTCAAGCCTGAAGTTAAAATGGTAACAAAAGCAGGTCCACTATCATCCAGGGCGAGGTCCAGTTCAAGTCTGAAGTGAAGGAGCAAGCCACAAAACCAAAGTCAATGTGCTGAGTTTAAAAAAAAATAATAATAATAAAAAAAATAAACATGCAAGACTAAAAACTATTGAACACCAATGATTTAAATACACTTCACACTCACAATGCTGATGTTAGATTTACTCCCTCTACCCTCAATTGGTGAGAGGTTTGAATGTTTACAATCAACATGCAGGTAAACTATGTTAAGACTGTTTTTAAACAAAACTTCAAGGAGGCAACCATTTAATAATTATTTTAAAGTAATAGTTCAACATTCCAGCAAAACTAGTTTTCTTTCTGAGAATTGGATCAGAAGATTGATAACTCTCGTAGTATTTTAAATATAATCAGTCATCATTCAGACTGAAAGCAGGGAGAACCAAGATTGAAAAGTGGAAATCAAATATTTGACTTCTGCAAATGAACAGTATTTTAATTGTATTTGATGATCATGATCACAACATGCAGCGAAATAATCAAGGCTGTGACTTTCACCCCAAAATAATGCATCATAAAAATCAGTTAGTGGCTGTCTATAGTGGCTTTAAAAAAAAAAAAAAAAAAAAAAAAAAAAAAAAAAAAAAAAAAAAAAAAAAAAAAAAAAGATGCAGGATGATGGGTGAGACGGTGATGCATGATGACACATCTTAGTGCTGTGATGATAGTAACACACTCCACATCAGGCAGCAACAGACACAGCCAACACACCCAGCTGTCTGTCTCAGCTGTGCAGCACTCCCAGGTCTGACCACAGCAAAGCTGAATGTGGAGGACTTACATTTCTGTGCTGCCGTTTCTGCTGGCGCCCTTTGCCCTGCTGCAGGGCCGTTTTCACCTGCACCCGGTAATGTACAATGTTAAGGTACGGGAGGAAACGCAGACAAAGACAAGAGGAAAAGAGCAGTGGTATGAGGTAGAAAGTCAGATGCTACAAAAACACCTTTAGGGGCGTCTGTAACAAGATAGAAACTGTTGTGAATGTGTTAAGAGAAACACAATGAAACATTATCTTTTTAAAATAAACACTGTATCAAATGATTGAGTAAAAAAATTGTGCCAAAATGGGAAACATCAAGTAGCCTAGCAGTAACCTTTTCAACCCATTTTAACTGATTCTTTAAGTTTTACTGATGACATGTTAAAGGCCTGAGCTCTAAAAACAGTTAGTTAACATTGTTAACATTAACAGCTCTGGTTAGGGATTTTAATCCAGTTCAGATTATGTATTTGAGGAGGTTTTCCCCATTAAAAACTATAGTTGTTATTTAGCAAACTTGCAGAACCTCATTAATGGGCTGTTGTAATGTCAGCTACAGGTAGGTACGGTTATCATCTTAAGAACTCTCCATTTACATATGGGCATGTGAGTATTGTTTTTAGACAGACTTGAGGTCACAACATTTATGTAGCAACTGGGGAGAAAAACCTGATTTTTCCAAACATGACCACATTCATACTGTGAACAAAATGTTAAAAACCACTGATGTATAGACAAACACATGAGCAATTTACTGACAGCACAATGAAAATTATAGAGTAAACAAGCAGAGGTTAAAGGGAAACAAGCACCAAGTTACAACACAGCATGCATATAGCACTTTTCTTGTCAAGTGCAGGCTAAAGGCTTTCTCAACAAAGGCTAAAATGTCCCCAAGAACTTGTCGTCTATACTTGAATCACCATTTCTCATTTAAACAACTATTCCCCCATTATAGGGCTGGTACACAGACATTAGTTTGTACAGCCCAGCCACTACAGGGGGTAGGTCTGCAGCTCATTTGTAGTACAGTACTCACTCCGTTTAGGGACTGCTGGATATTCTGTCGGGATTTAGCAATGTCCAGCAGGATGGGATTAACATCGTTCTTCAACAGACATGTGTGGGTAAAGCAGCAATGAAGCAGGAGCAGTGAGAAAGACAGGAAGTAGTGTGCAAAACGGACAAAAAAGCAGGATGGCCCATACATCCAACATGTAGGATGAAGCTGTTATTAAAAGATTTGAGTGATTTGAAAAGGATTGATGGTTTTAAAACCTCTACAGTCTTTTTCAAAACAAAATCCTTGTGAATTCATGCATCTAGAGGATGAACAGTCAAAGTAAATAAATATGAGATGTTCTGGGTTATCTTGTATCTGATGTTGCAATATAAAAGTTACACACATTCTGGCAGCAGACATGAGGGTACATGATGACCCAACCTGCACCTCTCATGGCACATCTGTAATTTTCCCCACTTCAGTACATGTTCTCTTGCTTTCTACCCAAGAAATGGTCCCAATGCAATACAATATGTTGACAGCAAGGCCTGGTGACAATCCTGGCTAACTATGACATTGTTTCTGTAAACACATTGTATTTCAACAGCTAACAATTAGTCAACAGAAAAACTGTCAACTTGATAATCAATTAATCCTTTCAGCAATTTTTCAAGCAAAAATAGTGAAAATCCAAATAAAGAATATTGTTTTTCTTTGTCATATATCATTATAAACTGAATTTATGCGGGGTTTGAGGTTGTTTCTGGTCAAACAAAAGGCATGTATTTTAAAAACTCAGCACATAAAAACAAACCTATCTATCACTTGAAATCACAATGAGTACAGGAGGAGATACGGCTTTTTCTGATTGGGTGAAACTGAAGTGATCATGTTATAATTTCTCTTTTGTTTTCTGGACCTGTGTAGACACTCTTCAGAGCTGCTGTTGCAGCCCTGGACAGCCTGAAAAGCAGAGACAGCTGCCAAACCACCTGACCCCTCTCACTTCTAAATCGGGTGACTTAACTCACATGCACGCAGCTGCTCTGGGCTGCCGAGCGCTGGTGACTATCGATGATGTAACTATTGCTTAAACCAACAGGCTGGTGACTGACAGAGCTGTGCAGCCGCTGAGAGGGAAGCATGAGGTGAGGAGGTGTCAAGAAGGAGGAGGACAGGAAGAACCAACAGACAGAAAATGCTGCTAGTGCAGGAATGAAAATAAAGGCCAACTAAAAATAAACCCATATGTCCCTATTTCTGAGAATATTCAGGTTGAAACATATTCATAAAAGTCTGACAATATCAAAAATCAAAAGATATTTTGCTGTCTGGGGCTGCAAATAAAAAGGGAACTCATAAGAAGAAAGAGACATCTTGGATTCAAAATGAAGTGTTTTTTTTGTGTTTTTTTTTACCTGTTGGTGTTGTGTGGAGGGGCCGTTGACTCCCTCGTAGAAGCACTTCTCTGCCTCATCATAGCGGTGTTTGTCAAACCATATGTTCTCTGTGGCGAGGCACTGCAGTCCACTCATGTTGGTACTGAGGAGGGAAAGTGAAGTTAAGTTAGACAATGAAACAACACTGATCAGTGTTTGACAGTTTATCTACTGACCATCAGTCATGACCAGGTGTTAGATTGTTACAGACAGCACAATCAGTGACAGGAAATGAGCGACAGAACGTGGCTTAATTAGATGCTGGACTGTATATTACAGGTTACAACGGCATGCAGAGTCACAGATGGAGATGTGGGTGGAAAAGGGAGAGGAAAAAAACAATGTGTAAGTCTGACATTTTCTAATATATACAACCAGCAAGCTGACACAGGAACAACTGCGGCATCATATTCTGTAAAACAACAGGTAACAAAAAAAAAAAAAGAACTTATTGCATCTGTGTTTCGCCTCCCCTTCTAATTTTGCTGATGGGTTACTGCAGCAGACAGGCATTTACACATTCCTCAGTCAGTGAAACAGAGTTGCCTGGTCTGCAAAGTCTGGATTATAGAACAAAACATTGCTCACTGCCCATACAGCAACCCCCCCTTGGTGACAGCAGAGATGTACTTAATTGTTTAAACACACTCAGTTTACTATACATGACTGTACGTAGATGTAAGTTGTACATTAACACTGACACACATGTGACACTGACACCAGACTTAGTGGGTGTTTATAAAATTGCAAGAGGATGCATTGGTGAGGTGTGTTTCAGGAATGTATGAGAGACTGAAATCTGATCAAGGAAGTCCAGTTTGAGTTTTATCCATGAGTTTAAAGGCTTATTAGATGCCAGAACACTGCACAGATTTTACACAACTCTGAATTTTATAACTATGGAAAGAAATCCTCTTTTCTTTACTCACAATGATCACAAGATACACAGCAGAAATACAGCAAATACAGCAGCTGGATGGTGTCTCATTGCACTGCAGCGCAAGTTTTCTTGCAGCACTAAAGTCGGTCTGAATATGGCTGAAACAAAAAACTTTAGTTTCTATAAACCTGCGTGTCAAAAATATTACACACAATACAAAAGTTAGCAGAACTGAAAAAGGCCAAACAAAAATGCAGACAGACAACAAATAAAAAAAATTATCAATATGGTTAAATAAAACTGAAAACACACATCAAGTCTCTCCCATTCCTTGTGTGAGAGGTGTCATACTTGTCCCTTCTGGGTCTGCTTTCCGTCTCAGACAGGCCCCTCTTCCTCTGGTTTGGCCCCTTGCTGCCTTTGCCTCCCTTCTCAGTCTCAGAGGAGGTGCGATTGCGGCCTCTACTGTACTGACGGTGAGGGGTACCAGAGGCCTTCACTGTGGTGACTGGGTGCCCCTGATCCTGCTTCTGATCGTGGCCACGTCTGGAGCGGAAGGTCAAGGAGCCTCTGGTGTTTGGGCTCCGTGGAGAGGATGACAGATGCCCGTTGTTATTAGAGGCAAGACGGCGTTGGTAGTTGCTCTCGGCCTGCTCGTAGGCACTGCGGTTGTACCAGATTCCCTCTGCCTGCATGCCCTGGAGGATCGGGCTTTGACCGTAGGAGCCACTTGCCTCTACAGAGGAGCTCAACCGCTCATCTTCAGGCCCAGAGCTCTGGCTCTCTGACTGGGACAAACGTGTGTGACGCCGCAACCTCCCAAACTGGACGTTGTCTCCACTAATGATGCCTCTCTCCAAAGTGGGAACATTAACCTGCCTGGCGGCCCCGACTGGTGCAGCTTGTCGAGGGGCTCCTTTTTGCTGACGGTTTGGCAAAGACTGATCCATTTCTCTATCAAAGGGGTGTCTTCTCTACTCACTTGTGTGCCAGGTGTATAAGGAGAGAAAAGAAGCAACAAGTGGAAGCTAGAGCCATTAGGTCAGGTCAGTGTGAGGTTAGCATCACAAAGGAACGAGCTGGTTAGAAACATCTGAAATAGCTCATAAAATGTGATGCCAATGTGGTCTTGTAGGCAAAGAGACAAGGGACTGATCAAGAAGCTTTTTTTCCCCAAAAAAAATATTATCATATTGAGCTTTGCAGGAAGAGTTCAGAGCGAGTTTAACTTGCAGAAGAACAGATAAATCAAACTGAGAATGAAAAGGGCTCCATTTATATGCTTTTGAGATGTGGAATAATCCCAGGATAAATTACAACAGTTCATTGATCAATCTCACATTGGACTTTCAAACAGCAAGGCCAAAACAAACAAGGCAAAAAGTAATGTGGGTAGTACAAATGACAAAAGGTGAAAATGGCCACATTTAGGTTAAGATGTGTTTCAGTGTTTCCTCAATATGCATTTCAAAACTAAAACTTATGTAGCTCAAATATTTTTTAAATAGTGATTTTATGATCAATCAACAGGTTTAACATTATAATCTCAACTTGAAAACACACCAGGTAAATTACACCCTGGTAATGTTGAATGTGATGCAGAAGTAGAACAAGGCTATTCCTGTCAGACACAGCTGTGTCCAATTAACGAGGAAACACTGTTTATGCATTAAGTATGATGTTTCTATTGAGACATCTAAAAACCCAACTTGTGCAACAGAGTCTGGCTCACCTTTGCTTTGGCATGCTGGATGATAATGTACGCTACCTATTGTGGAATGGAATATTTAAAATAATTCAACCAAACACATTTACTTATATTGAAAATCATAAATGTTTCATGAAAGACAATCCAAATGTCTCTGACAGCAGCACTGCCTTTAAACTAGCAGGGAAACATCACAACCCAAAGACACTAATTCCATGCATGAAATAAAGGATAACTTGATAATTGAAATGAAAAAAAAAAACAAAAAAAAAAACAAACTGTACACAACAGGTGATGCACTGCATATAGCACTGTCAATGCAGAAATATAAATCACAGCTGCCAGTTTATTAGGTTCCCCCAGTTAAAACTAATACATCCCTTCAATAAATCCTAACTGTTTTTAGTTAGTGATTTAAAGTCATGGTCATTTTGGAGGATGTAGTTTGTGTTGCAGTTGAATTGAAGCTGTATGAAGTGAACTGTAGACCAATTAGTCAATAGACATAAAATTGTAGAGCTAAAACAATTAGTGTTTTAATTGATTAGTCAAGCACCAAAAGCTTAATCAGCAACGATTCTAATAACTTATTATTTCTGTCATGAAGCATAAATGTCATGTGTGGAGTTAATGCTTTTCTTTTTGTATTTGTCAATAAACTGAATCTCTTTGGTTTTTGGACTGTTTGGACATCTGAAGATGCCACCTTGGTCTTTGGGAGTAACATTTTAACCTTCATCTTCATGAAGGTAGGGTTTATTGCAGACTACATTGACTAGACTACATTAGTTATAGCCAGGTGTACCTCTCCTATAAACTGGCAGTGTAAAATACTTCCACTACATCACATAATTGCAGTAAACCAGAGCATGTGTTAGAACATCAGCTGAAAAGCGGATTCATCAACAACACTCACCTTTGGTAACTGGGTTGGAAAGCTAATGTCCAACAGAGAAATAAGAAACAATACAAACATTCTCATAAACAGAATATGCGTTTACAATCCCTTATGCACAAAAAGTAACCACGGGAATACATTTTTCTTTTATGCTGAAGAAATGCCAATTAACGTCAAGGCAAAACTTATACTCACTTATGCAAAATTTTATCAGATGGGAGACTGAACAATTCGCAACAGTTTGTCAGTCTGCAAGAAGTGGGCATTTCATGTATAATACCAACCAAAGAACAGGTAAACGGCACAGTAAAAGTGATGGTTAATGACAGTAAATGTTCGTGTTGTATTCAACTGTTGCTTTAACACCGAGACACCGGGCAGAGTTACGTTACTCAAGTTTTTTGACAGTCCCCTCCAACTTGTAGTTTGGTTGACCACGTGGCGCTTAAAAACTCTAAATTCAAAATAGTCTGTGGGTTTTACAGGCAGACACGCTTTTTAATGTCCCAAATCCTAAAAACAAAACTTTACAGTACTTACTCTTGGTTTTATTCGACGTTTTATGGCCTGGTAATCGTCCACTGGCGTGCTGCCTCGGCTGTAATCCGACGGTGGAAGAGAACTTGCATTAGCGGACCGCCTGTATTCTTCAGTGACAGAGGGGGGGCGGACGTTTGCTTTTCGAAGACCGTTTCGATGATTTTCACGTTTGTTTAATATATATGAAAAATATAGAAATATAACAACCCACAGAAATACAAGTCATCATCTATGAAACCTTAAGATAAAAAAAGAGATCCGTGTTTTCGCTACCATTTGCCTCGTACCTTAAGATTGGTATGATCCATTTTGACAAAGACTTCATTTCCCATGATCCCAGGAGAACGGTAGTTAACGGCCAGCTGTAAACCGTGATTATCGTGATGTTCTGACAGGCTGTGGGGCCTATCCCCAGACGGAACTGTGATTTTACATGTTTAGGTTGAACAGCTATGCAAAGTTGCTTTGTTTTCTGTCTTGCCAAATTGACCTCTGTATCTCTTAAAACCTGGATAAATGATAGTAAATTTAAGTTTGGCTCAGGTTGATTTCTTTGAAGTTCATTGTGGAGCCAAACAAACACACTTTTACCTCACTTTTCCTGCAGAGGGCAGACAAGTCGAGTCAATTTAAACTGACTATAAATTATGTATAAATACTGTACATGGCTACTGCGTATTATTAATAATGTTTTGTATATACTTGAAGATACAGACTAGATTGTTTTGGTAGTTTTTCTATTTCAGCAATATTTTAGCTAGTTTTCACTGTGTGGTCATAATAATAATAACAACAATAATAATAATGATAATAATAATTATTATTACTAGAGGTAGCTACTGATTAAACTTGCAACAGCTATGGTACGGTATGGCAGGTGTAATGCAGGAAATTAATACAAATGTATTTATTTATTTTACTGTCATCAAACCACTCCATAATTCATTTCTTATATAGTCAGAAGTCTAAAAGATCATAAATGAATAAATATACCTTACCATCAACTACACACAAGTTTGTCTACAGTTAGATCATAAGAGTTGGTACAGCTTTGGATTTTTAAAATAGATTTTCATTTTCAGCTTAGTGTAAATTTAAAATTTATGTGTGGCTTTGATACATTTAATTTATTATTATTGTTGTTTTTATGTTCAAAACACTTATAAGTCCACCCTTTTTAATATTGAGTGGAGTTTGGTGACTGATTGAATGACTGAATTTTACATCATTTACATCAGGTATTGTGTAATATTATGATAAAAAAAAAACATTCAAAAACAAACAAATTCATTTTTTCATGTTAAATTGCAATACAACCACTTTACAAATGAGTAAATAAAAAAATAAAAACACATCTCCATGAGTGATAGAGACATATTTCCAAAGCTAGATAGTAAGTGTTGGTACAGTTTAGGACTTTTTAATTTGAGTTTATTTCATCAGTCAGTATGTTGAAGCAGCTGCAGTTACACAAAGCACAGGTGGGGGCTGTAATTCACAGCTGAAGTGAACACACACAGGGTACTAAACAGCAAAGCTGACACAGCTGCTTCACACACTACCAGGAGTGGGGATCGAACCCACGAAGACAACTGTCCATTGGATCTTAAGTCCAACGCCTTAACCTCTCGGCCATCCTGGTTGGTTGGGAAGCACCAGGTCAATCAGTCAATCATGTTGCTTTTACAGGAATACAGGCCACATTTATGAGCTACACCTTAACCCTTGTGTATATTTTTAACCTCTTGTCTCAGAGACCTCAGTTCAATGAGGTGACTAACACTTGTTCTTCACTTCCAGATAACTGTCTCAGAGGAATCAAAACTTAAAAAATCTGCAGTGATAATGAGCTTTTACAACTATTTGTACAATGTGAAAATTTCAAAGGGAATAAAAAGACTTCAAAATGAGCAACATGAGCTCTCAAATCTTTCCTGAGAAACAGAGATTGTTGAGTTACTTCTGACCTGCGACAGCTTCACACATGTGACAGATGTACAGGAGCTCTCAGACGACAGACAGTTGGCCTCAGCTAACCTTCTGTTAAAAGGAAAGCTTTATCATCTGTGAATGGAAGTGAAGTGTCTATGAGAGTTGTTTTGAACCCATGAGGACATTATATATCCAACACGTAGCCCAACATCTTGCTCACAGAATGACCAAACATTAACAGCTTTGATTTGATCTTTTCTCTATCTAAAGGTAAATAGGGAAAGTAGGAAAGATAACAAGTTATATTGTGAAAGAGTTATTCTTTGCTGTTCACTCTTAAAAATTAAAACTAAGGCTTGTGCTTTTCAAGACAAACCGTTTATGATTTATGCTAAACATCCTTCTTTGACCTTAGTTCTTACTGGAAGGAATTCAACAACACTACTTTCACTGATTAGTTGATTTATTCGTCCCCGAGCCTTTTCCCGCCCTCATTTCTTGTTACTCACATTACTTGTGATTGCATTTCTTGATTTTTGCATTATGTACTATTTCCCATATCTAAGTGATGCAGGGTGTGTCGACTGGGTTTTGTTCTGTAGTGTTTATTGCTTAAGGGGTTTTAATATCAATATTATACTTCCATAATTCATCTGCGGTGCCCCCTCTGACTCAACATCAAAGGTGAATGCTACTTATTAGACGAATACACAGTTCAGTCAGTCTGTGCACTTTCAAAAGGGAGAAAACCTTGAAGTGTTTTGGCTATAAAATTTGCATGTGCTCCATTGACTGTGGATAGGGGAACTCACTTTGTGGAGCCATAACATGCTAAGCTGAGTTGTCAAACCAAGTAAAGTTCATTTTCTAGCGATGCTAACAGGTATGACCCTAGGTCTAAACATAATTTGGCTTCAAGGAATGACACAACACATTTTATGGTTTAGTAACTTGAGTGTCCTGTTCATTTTTACTCAGAGTAGGGCAAAATTTTAGACTCCACTCACATCAAAATTTAATGGTTAATGCTTTAGCTTTGGGGTTTCAGGAAAAGAGGGCACACATTTACAAGTATCGCCTGACCCTTGTCTCGGCCTCAGGAAAAATACATGTAGATTTGAGAACTGAGCGATGTTCCTATTTGAGCAAACCCCTTCATCATATATTCATCCTATAGCACTGATAAAGCCTATACTGGGCTTTTAGACTGTGGATAAGACACAGCCAGTCTGACCGGCCATGTAGCGCGCCCCGGGCCAGGGGCCTGTTATGAGCCCCCAGTGTTTTCCAACTTAGCTCTGACAGGTGAGCTGCAGGCTCTCAGGTGAGAAAGATAATAAAAGAAAACGTTTAAAAAAAAAAAAAAAAAAATTTAGAGATGAGACTGAGCATCACTTTGTCATATTATATTGATGCAGTACATCATATTGAGTTGCGTTGCCCAAATCAACGGACTGAAAAGGCAGAGCTACAGAATCTCAGGTGATATTTGGAAATGGCTCACAACAGATAGCTGTTTCTAACTGGGTAGGCTAGCACACTACCTACAGGGTTTTCTGCATCTATTTTCTTTTAACATGTCCTTGAAAATCTATCATGTCAAGATTTTTATTAAGAGAAAAAATAATACAAATACACAATACAATATGGTTTCAGGCAAGTTATATCAGCAAACACAAGTAAAGTTTCTGCAGAGTCTGGCTCTTTATGTGCATATGTGCGTGTATATTATCTTTGCCATCTGTCAAAAAATGTTTCCACCAAAGACAAAGCCAGACCCACACCCTTGTCAAACATCCAAGTGAAGTAACACGGAGCAGACTGAATTGGAATGACTAGGATAGTATACATTAAGCTTCAAGAGTCATTCGTCTTTTCAGTTTAATGAAATTAAAAGAGCTGTCCCATCGCTCCAATTTGATGCCAAATTAAACTACACTCAAAATGAGAACAAATTTAAAAAATCAGGTGTTAATGTTTGTTTTTCTTACAATTCTGTACTTCGGATCTGCTGTGCTGTATGTTCAGTATATACATTAAGTAAAGCTGAGCTGAATTGAGTTGGGAGGCTGTGGTCACTATAGGGTAAATATTTTTTGTATGCAGGAAATGATAAATGACACCCTATCAGCAAATACAAACCCACACTCACCAGCTTTCTCCCCCTTTGTTTGTCTTTCATCATGTAAAGCAATCACAGACCAGTGTGGGATGGTAAACAAGGGCATCGTTGTGCAGTTCACTGATACCTCACTAAAAGACCTCTGGGTGTTGACATTCATAATGTTAAAAGATGTCATTTTGTTTCTGTTTAAGGCTCCCAAGGTGCAAAATTACTGTGTACAGATACAGGAGAAACAAATCCCAAAAGCAGCAAATGTATAAGGACTGAGTTTTACCTTAATCAGTTATTGATGAAAAATTAGTCAATCCATTAGTTTATCAACAGAAAATTAATAAATAATTCATTTTAAAGAGAGCCCAACACAGAATAACTCTTTAAGAATTTTTAACAATAAGGTTTGTCCTATCTGCCATTTAAGAGAAAATATATAGTGAATTATTGGTCAACCAGACAAAATTTCAACACAAAATTTCTATTTGCTGACATTTCTATAAATAAAACAATTAATCGATTAATCAAGAAAATAATCTGTCCCCATCAATCCCTGCCTTCACCTGACCTGTGCTATTCCTAACTTCACCTCTGTGGTCTTGACATTTTAAGCCCACATTTTATTAAAAAGGTGTTTACAGTACAATCTGCTCTTGCTTGACTTTGATACATCGGTTGCTGTGGGAATCAAACCCTCGGCTGTTTTCAGCATCATGGCTCCCCCTGCTCCACAAGATTGAAACCAGTGGCCAAACAGGCAATGCAAAGCCTTGCTTAAATGCAAACAACCAATATGTTTGAAAAATAAGCCATTAGCCCGCAGGCGTCAGTCGTATCATGCAGACCTTTTGTTAACCTGTGATTGTGAATGGGTAACAGTGTTTTAGGATAATGCAGTGACGACTGGAACCTGATAACATGTCAGGTTTGTTTTTCATTATTTTTAAGCCACAGTGACACAGATTCACACCGTACAATCGTAGTCTCCTGCTGTTTTACACCTGAACTAAATTGTTC